ACACACACACACACACACACACACACACACACACACACACACACACAAAGAGAGAGCAAGTCTTTTGAGATTATATCCCCAGTAGATGTCAGTAAAACATTCCCATCCTCTGTTTCTTTTCCCTCCCAATCTTGGCTCTGTAGCATGTTTAAAAAGTAAATACTAAATAATGTCAAATCACACTAAGCCTTTAATACCAGCAGCCCTATTCTGAAATGCAACGTTGTAATAAATCAGGCAGGAATTCTCCTTTTCATACAAGTGTTAAGCGGGTAAATCTCAATAAGTGCCATGTCAGTTATGATAAAACGAGTCATTCGGCTTTAGCAGCTGTCTTCAAAGAGAGGAGGGACAATGTTTACAAAGTGACAAAGAGCAGGACTTCTGCTCCATGTGTTCTGATGATCAACAGGCTCCCCGTGGGGGACATGAGGAAACCAAGAGGAGGAAGAAATGTGATGTAATACATCAATTTTAATTATATTCTAATTATTATTTACTTTTAATTGTATCCATTTAAAATGAGTTTCAAGAAATGTATTTAATTACGTGGAACTGTTTAGTGATTTATTTTGTCTTGCTCCAAGATATTCAGAAACTGATTTGTCTCCCTCCCACTGACGGATTTCCCACTGGAAATGAGAATGAATATTACATTTTGAGACTTTGGCGTATTAGCAGCGTGCTTTGGATGACAGGAGAGGATGATGTTACATAGTGTGCCCTCTTAAATACCCAATGTATCTGATCTTTCACAGGATAAATCTGCAAACAACGTGAGCACGTTTTTTCCCCTCTCCTTACCAAATATGCGCTCTCCTCGGTGCTGAAAGTAGAAAGTGTTGGTAAATCTGCTTTTTTCCTGAATGGACATCACCCCGATTTCCCTTAATTTGCAGGCAAAATATTGTTCTACCAGCAAGTAAAATAATATGACACGCTGGCCACGCTCAGCCTGGTTTCCCCCGAATTTAAAAGGCAAATAACGGCTGTCATTATGTCAAAGAAATGCCTTCTTCTTATGGCTCTTTCTTTTTCTCCCTCTCTCTATCTCCCTAACACACACACACACACACACACACACACACACACCCGCGCGCTGTCACACTTCTCCCCCACCTTCCCACTGTCTCCCTTACAGCCGAGGCGCGTTTCGTCTCCAAAGCCTGTCTGCAGAAGCATGTCTGAGGACATGCAGCCACGGTGCGATGAAGCGGACCAAAAGACGCCACCAGCATGACAGCATGAAAACAGGTAAGCCGATACCTGAGTGATCTTGTTTTCCCCTTTATGAACTGTAGCCTGTTTCTGATAAAAACCAAAGGAATCGGTATTTCTCAAGCAGGTTTATTTGACTCTCCCAGACCAAGAGATATGGAGCGTTAGTTCCTAACGCGACTGAGCGAGAGGAGAGCAGGTTTCATGTAGGTGTCTTGCTCAAGGACACTCCGACAGAAGAGACTTATGTATCTTAACCCATGTATGATGATCCCACAGCGCGTAAAAGGGCGAAATATGGACACTCGATCAGTACAGTAATATTCTGAGAGTTGCTTGTGTCCGCCAAGGTGACACGTGCGTAACTGTATTTTCGGTAAGATTTAACTCAACAGAGAAACATAGGTGACAATAAATATCTAGTCGATATCTAGCCGATTTCTAGTAATGGGGAAGCTTTGCACGATGAGCGCAAGGACAGCGAAAGCTTTTACGCTCGATCCACAGTTGCCAGTGTGTGTCATATTGCGCATCGTGGACGGAAAGGACAGCAGAACTTTATTCGTGGTTTATTTCATAAAGTTTCCCGAGCAGAATTAGTCCCAGTATCAAATCACGCTAGTGATAGTGTCGTTTAATGCAGTTTAATTTTTAATTTTCCAACCAAATACATTGGTGATGGCGCGCTGCCTCGTCAAATAGCCGGTGCAATGAGCACCGTAAACCCTCCTTTCTCAGGATTTTTCTCAACTGATTTTCTGTAATCGTTTTCTTTCATGATTAATCAGAAGAAATACTAGTTTACCAGTAACGTGTGCGCTCATGGCACTCTATTGCGCTTTGGATAAACGCGTCCTCCATGTCGTTTCATTTCTGCCTTCATATAACAGCTGTTTTCTCTGCAGTTCTCCTCTTTTGATATTCCATCTGTGCTGCAAAAAAAAAAACGTCTAATGATCCACACAGCAGAGATTGAGATTCCTCTCGTCTCTTCTTCTAGATTTCAGCGCGTTTGATCGCCACAGCGAATGGAAAAAATGCGTGTTTTTATGCTGCCATATGATTCATGTGTGGTCAAGTCAATAAAACAACCAGATTATGTGCATTAAGATTGACAAACCTTAAAAATGAGAGGTGATTTTGCGTCGCAGCCACAGCCTTATTGCGTAAAAGCGCGAGGCGAGAACAGACATGGGACGGCAGGTTTGTGTCGGATCGTGTGACTGTGGGTCTTCCAGTTGAGATGTTTTACGCGCAGAGTGGATCTCCCAAATCACGCTTTGAGCTTGTTGCCCATAAAATCTACTGCAGGACTCAATGTTGGAAAGGTAAAGCTGTGATTTATCGTTCTACTTTTCCTTCATACGCCACACGTAGGCACATCTTATTATTTTAATCTGGAGGACGATTACCTCTAATTAGTCTATGTGAAAAAAGGCGGAGTAAATATCTACTCTTCGTGTCGTCTGGCTGGATTAATCAGTGCCCTGGGACGAGGTGTACTTGTGATAAATGGAGGTATAGGTGCTAGTTTTGGATCACTCTGACAATAAGAGAGGTAGAGTTAGCGTCAGAAGAGCTGGTGAGACTAACAACGAAAAGTAATTCTCACTTGTGACCTGAGAAGGAAAATCAAACTATTGGTGGTTATTTCTGCACCATAACAGAAATAAAGTAGGCTATATGAGCCTGCTTGTTGCCCGTTTTATGAGTATTTTTTGATAAGTCGGAGAACAGTTGATTTCTGATTATTATTTAGAATTTAATATTTTCTCAGGGGGTTAGTAAGCGGATATTTTCCAACAGGATCCTAAATAATACTGCAGATACAGTTCACCTGGAGCACCAACCTGTGCAGGTATTTGATATTCATTTGGGCATTTTCTTGTGCAGTGTGTAAGTGAGTGCTGTGGCTTAACCGTGATGAAGTCATTGATGTCGTCTTCAGCGTCTGCGATTCTCGCGGTGTGTTGGTCAATGGTGGTGTGTTGGTGTGTTTGTTCTTTCACATTCATGCAGATCTCCGAGTAGAAATCTGAGTTAGTGTCAAACAAGGGGAGATGATTTGCATTTTACTTCTGTCTGTTAGGAAGATTCCATCACTTCAACTACTCACTGTTGTTTTTGAGACAGCACTGCAGGGGAACAAGTGAAGAGTTAGGATTCCATTATGTTTGTGTGCAGAATAATGTTTGTTTATCCATCTGGCAAAATAATCCTGATCCAAAATTTGTATCAAAAGGTAACTAACGTCAAACTGATTACAGCTGCTGTACTTGAGGGAAAACAGTACTTAGTTTGGTGAGTTCTCTGATTTTGTTTGGTGGATACTTGATCATGACTGGGTGCCATTTGGTACACACCACTTGGTACAACCAAAGGCTTACAGGAGATTCTTGACAACCTTTTTCCACAGAAAACACAATTTGAAAGCCCACAACAAAAAGCATGTAGTTTTCATCGATACAATCACAAAACCTTTTACAGCACAACAGAAGGGAAGAACCATTTCATTAGATATGAATAAAAACCTGGGAATGCTCATTTCTATTGCATAACCACATTATAATCATACTGTCGATCGTAGAAAATATTATCAGGTTAAAACATTACATTTTCTTTTAGTACTGCCATGTTGATACCACGTAAATAATGATTATTTCACTGCACTACAACTACAACTCTCTCAGTACAACTTTTCCATGTTTCCATGTGTAATTTGTATTATTTTACATTTGAGTGCACTTTAACTTTTTCATCCACCAAACATATTGAGGTCTTAAATAAAACTGCATAATTCCACCAATCTTACCAGAGTGTTGTGTCGCTGCTCTGATCTATCTGTGCAAGTTTGCAGAAGTTCTGCAGACTTGTTGCTCTCCTTTTCCACTTATCATCCTCTTTGACATCCTGATGTTGATGGATGAGGTTTGGATGCACTGTGACTAAACAGTCATTTAATGTTTTTTTTTATTTCTGCCAGCCCACTGCGGTTATACCGAGGTCAGGCTTCCTTTTTTTTTTTTTAATGCCCTTCACTAACTCTATTGGTATTACATTAGAGATGCAGATATTATGGACTGTGCATAATTTCTTCTTGCGGTGTCAATGTGTTTCACTGAGATAGCAAATGATGGCGTCATTGATTCGTGTATCACGCTTGGCCAGCGATTCTGCATGATAAGTTGCATGTTGGTTAATGCAGATAAGAGCAAAGTGACATATACTCAAAGTATATTCATTTGAATATCTGTCATCGAATTCCCCTGTTTTAAGAACCCAACCACGGATTTTTGCAGCTGTGTCAAAAAGCGATGCTTGCTGCCCCCTGTGGTGAAAACCAGACATGGAACAGTATGATCCTCATTTGAGTGCTGTTTTCTTTCATATTAAAATGACTGCGCTTTGTTATAGCTAAATGTGTATGCACACACACAGACACACACACACACACACAACTGGGTCAACTTGGTCACACTCACAAGGAGAGAGGAGGAGAGGGTGAAGGAGGAGGCTCATGCCAACGCTCCTACTAGAATGACTGCAAACTTATTTCTGAATCTGTGTTTTTGGCAGCTGTGGAAACGGCATTTGAGGCAAGGTTGCTTTTGTAAAAAGTTAAATTTAGCCCTCGGGGTGCCTCATTCCATGGACATACGCTTGTAGAGCGGCTGCACAGTGCACATTAGTGGATCTGTGTAGCTGGCACGCACAGAAAGGAATGTCTAATTATCACGCAGTAGGCTCATCTATGTGCAACTGAACTCTTGTTCTAAATCACTGTCTTTTTATATCATTACACACTCATTTATTTTATTTTTACGCAATTAAAAATGTTATTCCTGCTCTGTGCGGATGAGCCGGGAAGTCCGCGCAGCGTCGGCTGGCTGTTGGAGGAAGGTGTAATTGAGCAGAAACAGAAGATTGGCTCCGATAATGTGTAGACATTTTGTGGAAGAGATGGAATAAGATTCTATGAAGGGGTTTTACGTAACAGTGAACATGCGGTGTACAATTCTTTGTATAGATGGATGGATGAAGGTTTTGCCAGAGGGAACACTGATAGGATGTGTTTGACTCATACATATGGTTTCATCAGCTAAATGTAAACTGGATTCGGAGTGTGCAGATTTCCACATGCTGATGCCGTATCTTCAGCTAGTGGGACAAACGGCTAGTGTAGCCTTTAGCTGTGCTCCTTATCAGATGCTGAGTGATTACGGGGCTTTACAATATGAAGTGGCACTAAACCACCGCAAGAAGTGGCATTGATTGGAAAGGATGGGAGGAGGGAGATTCCTCCTTAAGGTCATTATCTAGCAGACAGAAAGAGTTAGACGAAAACAAACCAGTGTAATTGCATTTGTAACAAAAGACTCGGAATCAATGGTCTAAGCACTACTTACAGCATTGTGTCAGCATATTTCATCAACATACAAATGGATTCAGTGACCCTGTAATTGCTCATGAAATCTATCTTATGAAATCATTTCTGCAGCTCCCAGAAGTTTGTGGTCTGTGTGGACCCACATTTCATGTCATTCACAATACATCTGACCACCTCAATGCTGATCCACACAACACTAGCACTGGGACGAGATTTGATGCTATTGCCATATTTGGGTGCTTATTTGTGCTTCAATATTGTGATTAGCCCAGGCTTTTATCAACACGTCTCATTCATTGTTCCGTATCACAGAAGAACATTTTAATTTTAATCAAGCTGGCTGCAAATCCTCATTTGTAATGCTAACTTGCAGTGCTAGATTCTCCTCTTATTCTTGCATTGTGAAAATCTGAACAGCAGCTCATATGTGACAGCTGCAGCAGCAACAGTTGTAGTTCTGCCCTCAGTATCTCTGGAGATCCCTTTGAACGTTCTCTGCTTGCAAAAGCCTCAGGTGTTCCTCAGTCTTGCTCGTCCAGCTGTAATGTCAGGCAGCCATTTCTTGCTTTTAATTACTCTGAACCTCATTAACGCCTGCTACTTCAAGCTCTGGCTCTGCCATTATCATTGGCTCCATAAAACATTCAGT